TTTCTGACGTAAGACCTACATCTACATTAGGAGAACCTGATCTCCCAAGGTTAGACCCAAGTTTCCAACCCTCTCACTGAACCTGACGAAACTGTACCCTGCAATGCCCTTTCCAAAGCACGAGATCAGTTCTATAGATAATTAAAAAAAAAAAGAGCCTTAAAAATGCTCACGAATTAAAGATTTTACAACATATATTCACTGGGCAAAAAAGTTCACTTTACCTTAGAAATTAACTAAGAGGCGGTCACGGTCCTCCCGTGGCTCATCGATTTGCTCGAGCGGGCCCAGTAACGTCTCCATTGGAGACTTTGTTGTTACTGTGTCTGGCATCTCGAATACGTCACGGGGAGCTTGCCAGGCTCTGCCGTGCGGGCGAGATACTCTCGGTAGCTTGCCAGGCTCTCTGAGAGGGGCCGAGGAATCGAACTCGGGTCGGGCTGGAGCGATAGCACTGCGGGGAGGGCGTTTGCCTTGCACACGGCTGACCCGGGTTCGATTCCCAGCATCCCATATGGGCCCCTGAGCACGGCCGGGAGTCATTCCTGAGTGCAGAGCCAGGAGGAACCCCTGTGCATCGCCGGGTGTGACCCAAAAAGCAAAAAAAAAAAAAAAAAAAAGAAAGAAAGAAAAAGAAAAGTTGACTAGTTATTTTCCATGAAATTCTCCATTCTCAGAAACTATTAGAGTCAAAGGGGCTGTTCTTAGCTGTTTTGTTTTTTTTTTTTCCAGATATTTTCGGTACCGAAAGTCCTCAGCGATCAAATAAAACACTTAAAATAAGTTTTGCAACCGATTTCATAACTCTAGAAACTCATGTTTCAACTAAACCATTAGTCTTTGAACCTGTTTTCGGGTATCATAAATATTTCAACTCCCAAGATTTTCTAGGTGAAATATTCTGATCCAAGGCAGATACAAATATGTACATTGACATCACGGCATAAGAGCTTTGAGAAGACCTTTTTCTGACTTAATTTCAATAGTTCTTGTACCTTAGTTATTTCAGATCATGGGCTCTCTACACCAGATATTTTTAACAATTCCACAAGAATACAAACATCCAAAATATGTTACGAATAACATGTATCACAAAATATGTTACAAATAACATGTATCATGTGTGTTATTCATAACCAGCAGTAGAGAACAAATTGTCTACTGTTGCCTTTTCGGAAGATCTGAGTGTTGGGGTAAAATCCCAAATTATAAAGGTGGGTCTGGTGTCGAAATATCAAATGTGATCAAAGTAGAGAGAGAGTAATGTGGAAATCATCTGCCCCACAGGTAGGGGGAGGGTCTGGGATGGGGGTATCCTGGGGTTATTGGGGGTGGGAAATGGGCACTGGTGAAGGGACGGGTGTTTCATTGTATGACCGAGACTTAAACCCGAGAGCTTTGTAACTGCTCTCACGGTGATTCCATAAATAAAATTATACAAAAGGAAAAAGACAAATAAGGTGGAGTTCATGCCCGATTCAATCAGCCTAATCAATGGCTGAATAAATTGCATTATTTCCTACATTAAAAAAAAATACACACATGCTTTCAGATTCAGAAAGAGATCCTTGGAAGCAAACTCTGATATAAGCGTAAGAAAACACTTGAGCTGCCATTTCTCATAAAAACATGAGAAAACTTTATTCTGTGATTATTATTTTTTTTTCTTGGCTTTTTGGGTCCCACCCGGCGATGCATAGGGGTCCCTCCTGGCTCTGCACTCAGGAATCCCTCCTGGCGGTGCTCAGGGGACCCTATGGGATGCTGGGAATCGAACCCGGGTCGGCCGCGTGCCAGGCAGTAAGGTCCAAATTGAGAATTTCTGCGTAGGCTCAACATTCCTAGGAGAAACCTTTTGTTTAAACCTGGTCTAGGGGACCGGAGCAATAGCCCAGCGGGGAGGGCGTTTGCCTGGCACGCGGCCGACCCGGGTCCGATTCCCAGCATCCCCTAGGGTCCCCCGAGCAACTGCCAGGAGGGATTCCTGAGTGCAGAGCCAGGAGGGACCCCTGGGCATCGCCGGGTGGGACCCAAAAAGGAAAAAAAATAATGACACAGTGATCAAAAGAAATGACACAGTGATAACTGCAAACTGACAGGAAGGGGAAATTTTATCACTCATACATTATTCTTAAAAATTCCAGGACTGGAGCAATAGCCCAGCGGGGAGGGCGTTTGCCTGGCACGCGGCCGACCCGGGTCCGATTCCCAGCATCCCCTAGGGTCCCCCGAGCACTGCCAGGAGTAACTCCTCAGTGCAGAGCCAGGAGGGACCCCTGGGCATCGCCGGGTGGGACCCAAAAAGGAAAAAAAATAATGACACAGTGATCAAAAGAAATGACACAGTGATAACTGCAAACTGACAGGAAGGGGAAATTTTATCACTCATACATTATTCTTAAAAATTCCAGGACTGGAGCAATAGCCCAGCGGGGAGGGCGTTTGCCTGGCACGCGGCCGACCCGGGTTCGATTCCCAGCATCCCCTAGGGTCCCCCAAGCACCGCCAGGAGTGATTCCTGACTGCAGAGCCAGGAGGGACCCCTAGCTTGGGCTGGGTGTTACCCAAAAAGCAAAAACAACAACAACAAAAAAAACTGGTCTAACGAGTTCCAAAACCACTTAAGCCTTTCAAATTGCTGGGCTGCATACTCTGCCCAGGTCTAAGAATATTTCTACTTCTGATCTCATCAAACCTGGCTCTTAACAGACAAACCAGACAATGAACTGCTTCGATAATCCCAGTTTTTTTTTTTGGGGGGGGGGGGGATGGTCACACCCGGCGATGCTCAGGGCTTCCTCCTGGCTCATGCACTCAGGAATCACCCCTGGAGGTGCTCAGGGGACCCTGTAGGAGGCTGGGACTCGAACCCAGGTCGGCCGCGTGCAAGGCAGGCGCCCTACCAGCTGTGCTATTGCTCCAGCCCTGATAATCCCATGTTACTTTTACTTCCTGCAAAAATGATTGAACTGTGAAATGGTCCGATCACGCAAACTGTCGCCCGCTGGACATCTCTCATTATCCTCAGGCCACGTGGTGTTACGTTAAACAAGATGCTTCTTATTTAAACTACCTCGTCGGACGCCCCTCCGTGACGTTTTAATAAGCAACCTGAAGTTGAATCTTTGGGTAGCAATGTAGAATTTCCTGAGTGAAATACAGGAAATAAATACAGGAAAAACGATGACGTATGAAAAAACGATGGTCCCTTGGCAAAACTTGGCCTTTCTTAGCTAGCCGGCCTTACTTCCTTGCCATTCTCTGGTTTCTGTTACTTTTTTTTTTCTTCTGCCCTACTTTGCCTGGACCCGAACATCAGTTGACCCCCTAGCTGATTTGAGACTGGTTGGGGAAAGGATTTCTGCCTGGAAGCCAATTGGCCTTAGTTTCCCTAAATCATCTCGCTTGCCCGGTGGGTGGAGAACTTAGCCCTAAAGGTTCAGCGTTGTGACTTGCGGCCGGTATTTGTACCAGTGCCACCTTGACTGTTTCGTCCTCCGTGGAATTGCAGGCAGCCCACTCTTGTGACTTAGAGCTCTGTGACTTAGAGGGAGTAGCGTATAATTTCAAAATCACGCTTATCGGGGAGGACTTAACGGGGTGCTTATACACACACATTCACACAAGGGTTATCACATTCCTCCCCCATCCCTTCTAGAGATTTCCAAGGGAGCATACCTACCTCCAGGGCAGACAGACTTTCCACAGGCTACCTCCTTTTCGCTTGGGATTTCTTCACTGCATGGTCAAAACTAGTTAAGAGGGCAGATTTTGGGGTCAACTGGGCCTGACCCACAGTGATCCAAGAAAAGGGAAAAATTAAACAGAAAATAATAAACAGACTCTCCACCAGTGAGTGAGACAGACTTGCACGGAGTCACCAGAAAGGGGACAGATTAAACAGAAAACAGATCACTCCATCCGTGAAACAGATTGACACCAAGACACACACACACACACACACACACACTCCTGATGTCAGGGATGTCTCCCAGGACTTCCAGCAGTGGAATTTCCAAGGACCCCAGCCCCTTTATTCTCTGCCCAGATGAGAATTCTCGACCAGACCCAGAGAGGGACCTCCCAGTCCCCCCAAGTCGGAGGTGCCCAATCCTCCTTACCAAGGTCCTGACTCTACCAGTCTAACCTGTTATCAGGGTCGTCTGTCCCCTGAGGAAGGGGTCTTCTTCATGGGTAAGCCCCCAAGTGGGTCCAGAGTTGACCACCCCTCAAGGAAGAGAGGACACAGCAAAGTGTGCAAAAGTCACACAGCAAGGCTTTCATTTCCACCCAGCTGGGATCCCTGTGTCCCCCTGACCCAGTGAGTTTTCAAGCACTAGATTCAGCAAGATCTTATATACTTCCTGACAGTTTTTCCCTAGCCAAGTCTTCAAGCGCCCTCTTTCCACCAAAATTTAAATGCTCCATATTGCAGACTCTCGAAGACTGCCTTCGCCTGAGTCTGACAGTCATGGGGGAGGGAAGAAAAAAAAAAAAAATCAAGGTATTCGCCTCAGGCAATTTTTTTTTACATTTTATTGAATCACCGTGAGATAGTTACAAGATTCAGCCAAGTTTTCAAGAGATACCACAGAACTAGGAGACACCATAGGTTGATCGATCATACTTAAGGAGAGGAGAGAAATTCCAAATCTATCGTCTCATAATCCACCTCATCATCTATTGATTTTAGAATCAAAGTCACAACTGTTGTTGGAGGGTCGAGATCATTGAACCCTACCATTGACAGAAGTGTTATAAATTGATCACATCTATGTCCTAACATGACTTTTTTCCTCCCTCTCTCTTTTCTTTTTTTTTCTTAAATCGGTGGAGAGGACTTGATCGGAGACAGTTGATCAGTCAAATTCGGTAGAGAACTCGGATGAGTTTAGGCTGGATTCCCAGGAGGGAGGAGGGCTTGAGAGAGACAGGTTCCCTATGTTAGAAGCTAGACCCGCGTGCGGGTCGACTTTGCCTCGTGGCGTCGAGCTGGACACCAAGACGACAGAATACTGACACGCTCCTCGTTGTCTCCAGAGAACCCGATCACTTGGCCGAACTGATTCTCGAGTGCAGACAATCTGCAACGGACCTCATACAAGTCAAGTAGCAACGCCATCAGCTGGCCCAATAACCCTCTCAAGATCTCAAAGAGGTCCTCCTCCTCTCCTTGAAGTGTTCCCAGGCGGTCTTCTCCCATCGTAACTGGGATCATGGTCTGATTCAACATTCTCCCCTCCACTTCAGTGATCACCATGATGGCTTCTTCTCGGTAGAATTCTGGTTTTCGGTAGGTCTCTGTTGGAATACATGTTAGGTGTTAACATCGGGATGTCCATTCTCCGACCACACAAAGAGTCTAGGTGGATCTGGTGATACCCATCACGGTGGCCACAGTGATAGCACAGCGGGTAGGGCACTTGCCTGGCACGCGGCCGACCCAGGTTCGATTCCTCCGCCCCTCTCAGAGAGCCCGGCAAGTTCCCAAGAGAGAATCCCGCACACCCGGCAGAGCCTGGCAAGCTCCCCGTGGCGAATTCGAGATGCCAAACAGTCACACCATGGAGACGTTACTGGTGCCTTGTTTGAGCAAATCGTGAACAATGGGAGGACAGTGCTAGTGTTATAATGGGTCCCCCAACCCCTCAGGAGGGGGATTGAAGTCAGTGGGAAGGTGAGTATGGGAGAAAGAAAACAGGAGATTGGGGAGTGAATGGACGGGGGTATATGGTGCCACCAGCAGGTCCATCTGTACCTGTGAGGTAAGTGCATCAGCAGCCTGATGGCACCGTCAGATACCCCCAAAATTGCTGCTGTGCCTTTGGCCAGACCCCAAAAACTTGGGGGCAAAGTTTACCAAGAAAGTATAGGTAAAGGTAAAGGCCCTCCCGTTGATCGTCGATTTGCTCGAGCGGGCCCAGTAACGTCTCCATTGGAGACTTTGTTGTTACTGTGTCTGGCATATCGAATACTCTCGGTAGCTTGCCGGGCTCTCCCAGACCAAGAAACTAAACGGCCCAAAAGTGAGGTATATGGAAGACACGCCCACCAACCACCTCCGGCTCAGCCGCAGAACTGGTGTCATGGCCTCTCTGGTTCCTGAGAAGTGAATGGAGACAAGACTGGAATCAACCAGACTGACCCTCGTTCCTTCCTTTGCCAGAAGCAGCCTGAGACCACCGTAATACGGTGTGTGTGTGGGGGAGAGATAGAGCACCAGGGGCTCTTAGTAAATATATATGCCTGTCCTTTCTTCCTTTGAATCTTTTCTGGCCCTTGGCTCATGGTTTGGTCTGCCTTTGGGATTCTGTGTCTATCTGGGAGGGGGCGTGAGAAGCAGCTGGTTCACCGTACCTCACCCTGGTTGTAAAGATTGGAGGATGCAGCTCTAGCCATGAAGGACATATGACTCAACAGAGCTAATTGGCTGAAATTACCACCCGGTGTCTTACACACAAATGGTGTTCGAGGGTCCATTAGTGAATACACCCTTATCCAGTAACCTGTGTCTAGCTAAGATGCTTCCTTGATATATGGGAGTGCTTTGCTATCCCGATGTATAAAAAATTTTTTTTTCGGTCACACCCGGCAATGCACAGGGGTTATTCCTGCCTCATGCACTCAGTCACTCCTGGCGGTGCTCAGGGGACCCTATGGGATTCCTGGGAATCGAACTTGAGTCGGCTACGTGCAAGGCAAACGCCCTCCCCGCTGTGCTATCACTCCAGCCCAAGGGAATGTTTTCTTGATGTATAACTCTCATGGATCCTGTGACTGAGAATGATGGCTTTTGTACGCCCTAGTACGCTGTTGGGATGTCTGAAGTTACTTCTGCCTTTCCGACCCGCGAAGACAGGCCGTCCTGGCCCCAGCTAGCTGAAAAATAATAAGATCTCCATGTGTGTGGTTTGCGTTCCTGGTTGGACTCAGTTTCCCTGAATACTGAGGGGTGCTGCCTGGTCCCAACAGCTGTTGCATCTCGGTATCTTTTCTTGGAAGGGTCAGATGGGGAGGACTGTCCTGACTCGTGATTCGCCGTTGGGTTGAGAAAGAACCAGGGCCACTCAATAGTCTACTGCAAACCACAACACCCAAAAGGAGAGAGAGAACAAAAGGGAACGCCCTGCCAGAGGCAGGGTGGGATGGGGGATGGGAGGGATACTGGGTTCATTGGTGGTGGAGAATGGGCACCGGTGGAGGGATGGGTACTGGATCATTGTATGACAGAAACCCAAGTACAAAAGTCTACAACTACCTCATGTAGCACTGTCCTCCCGTTGTTCATCGATTTGCTCGAGTGGTCCCAGTAACGTCTCCATTGTGAGACTTGTTACTGTGTCTGGCATATCGAATACGTCACGGGGAGCTTGCCAGGCTCTGCCGTGCGGGCGAGATACTCTCGGTAGCTTGCCGGGCTCTCCGAGAGGGGCGGAGGAATCGAACCAGGCTTGGCTGGGCCGGCCGCGTTCAAGGCAAACGCCCTACCAATCTACCACCCTATTATCCTGACAGTTAAAATTCTGTATTCTGCATCTTCTTTCATACTTATGAATTCAACAGTAAGGACGAAATAATCTCAGCTCATATAGAAATAAGTTATATTTTATGTTATCTAAGTGATGGTTATCACTGAAGCAGAGCAAAGAGCAAAATCTTAAAAAAAAAAAATTAAGAATGAGGACCGTAGTTACTGATGTACGCAGATAAGATAGGAAAAGGCCCTGGGCAATGGAAACTTCTAGGAGGAAAACGCTGATCCACTTTGTGGATACAGTAATAAGACCTTGCCCAGCGGGACCTGAGGGGACTGGGCCCTTCCCCATGAAGGAAATTCCTCCGGGATACCTTCAACTTCTCCCTTAATCTGATTAACTTCAGTGATTCAGCCCGAAGAGGCCCAACCCCCACTCCCAACGCCTCTGGCAACCTCCTTAGCAACGGACTCTGACCTGGGGAGAAGCCCCCCCCCCCCCCGTGGGGGCAGGTGGGAGACACCCCCTCAAGGCCCCCTGGGACGCAGGGAGGGAGCAGAGGCTGCCGGAGCCCAGGTGCTGCTGGTGCCCACGTGGCCGGGCACAACTGTCACCTGCATCTCCCCTCTGAGATGGGGACTTTCACGCATTCCTGACTGATGCTGGGGGCTGTGTAGGGCTCTCTCCGCCCTTGGAGAAGCCCGGGGTCTCTCTCTGTGTGTCTCTGTCTCTCTCCGTCTCTCCTGTCCACTCCTTCAAAAACCCTCCAAATAAAATCTGTTTCACCTCCCTGCTTCTCTACTCCTGAAATTCCTTTCTGCGAGGCGAGACAAGAACCCAGTTAACGCTGGGTCCCGGGGTGTCAGAGGCAGACGGGGAGAAACTGACCGTCTCTCTCTTTTCCCGCCTCACATGACCTACCCACGGGGCACACCGACATCAGTTATTACACTGTACGCGCCCGTCTCGTCAGCGGGGATGAAGTCCCCGGTCTGCTGCGCCCAACGCAACTCTGTTCCCTAACCGCGCCCGTCACTGCAAATCAAACTGATGCCTGCTTCTGGGCTCAAGCGAGACACAGTCCTTATGCACCCTCCAGACAAGGCTCCGAATCACCGGTCCCCTCAACAACCAACCAGCTGCCTCCGGTCCGAGAACTTAGGACGACCACATAACGCATCATGTTTTGGGACAATGAACTTCCCGATGAACAGTGAACTTGACAAAGAACCATGCACGTGGTCAGACGCCGGGTCTGGCTCCCGGGAGTCCAGGCAGACCCAGAAGAACGCGATCCCTCCCGGACCCCCCACGCACCCTGTCCTCACCCTTCAGACCTCGAGGTCGGGCGCCAGGTGTCGTCCCGGTGGTCGATCGGTCGCTCGGAGAGCCAGGCGAGACGGGTGATGATGAGGCAAGGAGGACGTCGGCACTCTCTGCAGCCGAGATCAGTGTTGGCCGAATCTTTTTATCCGCTCTCTGTGTCCTCCACGCCTCCAAGGAATTCTGCAGAAACGGGAAAAATCCAAACAAAGCCAGGCGGAGGTTTAAGGATGAACCTGGACCAAAGTCAACAAGCTTTTTGCTTGCCCCCAGGCGTGCAGATAAAGGAAAACCCCCCCACCACACACACACACACACACACCCCAGGCGATGACTGTGACAGTCTTGAAGTTGCAAAGGCGAATCTTGCAGAAAACAGGAAAACTCAGGCCAGAGAAGACCCTGACCTGAGGCAGCAACCGACCCTGAGGCGGCTGAAACTCCCACCTCGCCCACCCCCCCACCAACGCCCCACAAACGGTCCAGCAGGAACCAAGGCCAGGAAAGGAATTTCCAAGAAGCCCCTCCCCACTCCCAACCCCCCTGGCAACCTCCCTAGCAACGGACTCTGACCTTGGGGGATAGCCCCAGGTGGGGGCAGGTGGGAGAAACCCTCTCAAGGCCCCCTGGGACAAAGCAGGCTGGACCTCCCCCCACAGAACTCCAACAGCGATGTTGCAAAAACAAACAAACAAAAAAGTTGGGGGGGAACCCAACCCAGAGCCCACTCCTTTTTTTTTTTTTTTTGGCTTCTAGTTTGTTTTTGCAGAGTTTGGAGACTGCATCTTGAAGGAAGCCCCGGGCCCCTGAGGCCGGGACTTAGGAAAGAAAGAGAGAGAGGGAGGGAGGGAGAGAGAGAGAGAGAGAGAAGAGAGGAGAGAACGAGAAAGAAAAAAGACAGAAAGGAAAGAGAGGAAGGAAGGAAGGAAGGAAGGAAGGAAAGAAAGAAAGAAAGAAAGAAAGAAAGAAAGAAAGAAAGAAAGAAAGAAAGAAAGAAAGAAAAGGGGTCTGGAGTGATAGCCCAGTGGGGAAGGCATTTGCCTTGCACGTGGCCGACCCGGGTTCGATTCCCGGCATCCCCTAGGGTCTCCCGAGCGCGCCAGGAGTGATTCCTGAGTGCAGAGGCAGGAGGAACCCCTGAGCATTGCCTGGGGGTGACCCAAAAAGCTTAAAACAGAAGGAAGGAAGGAAGGAAGGAAGGAAGGAAGGAAGGAAGGAAGGAAGGAGTTGAGAGGGAAGAAAGAAGGAAGGAAGGAAGGAAGGAAGGAAAGAATTGAGAGGGAAGAAAGAAGGAAGGAAGGAAGGAACTGAGAGGGAAGAAGGAAGGAAGGAAGGAAGGAAGGAAGGAAGGAAGGAAGGAAGGAAGGAAGGGAGGAAGGAAGGAAGGAAGGAAGGGAGGAAGGGAGGAAGAGAAAAAAAAGCAACACCCCTTGGGCTTCTTGGAGCCCGGGGACTACTGCCTCCCTACTTTGACGGGAAGGTGGCTGGATTCAGGATCTGGGACCCCACAGCGCCACCCCTGAGGGTCCCACTGTGAGCAGCAGGTCAGCGTGAGTACGAAAGAATGAAAACCTAGGAAGCAGGTCAAAGGGTGGACCACCCCACCCCACCCCGCCCCGTGCTACCGTGACCTCCACCCCCAAACCATCCGAAGCCCCCCAAATGCAGCAGGACTCCCCCACCCAGGGCAGAACACGGGGAGGAATGCCGTCAGCTAGGACTTCCAGAACATCCCGGAATGGCCTGGGGGTTCCCGCGGACTCTGTTCTTATCTTTCTTTTCCTGGTGTGCCTGAAAACAGAAAAGTGGGGTGTGGCCCTCTGGATGAAGTGGCTTATTTTTTTGGGGGGCGGGGGATAAACCAGCTTGGGGCTGGGAAAAAGAAAGGGGTAAATGAAAATGGAAAAAATGGAAAAAATGGAAAAAAGAAAGGGGTGAATGAAAATGGAAAAAATGGAAAAAAGAAAGGGGTGAATGAAAATGGAAAAAATGGAAAAAAGAAAGGGGTGAATGGAAATGGAAAAAATGGAAAAAATGGAAAAAAGAAAGGGGTGAATGAAAATGGAAAAAATGGAAAAAAGAAAGGGGTGAATGAAAATGGAAAAAATGGAAAAAAGAAAGGGGTGAATGGAAATGGAAAAAATGGAAAAAAGAAAGGGAGTATTTGGTGAAAGACAGAGAGAGGGTGTGTGTGTGTGTGTGTGTGTGTGTGTGTGTGTGTGTGTGTGTGTGTGTGTGTGTGTGTGTGAGACAGAGGGATGATTAGCAGGATGGCACCGTCCTCCCGTGGTTCATCAATTGGCCCGGGCGGGCACCAGTCACGTCTCCACGGTGAGACTCACTGTGACTGTGTTTGGCATCTCGGAGACGCCACGGGGAGCTGGCCAGGCTCTGCCAGGCAGGCGGGCGGGATCCTCTCCGGAGCTGGCCGGGCTCTCCGAGAGGGACGGAGGAATCGAACCCAGGTCGGCCGCGTGTCAGGCAAACACCGTACCCGCTGTACTCCAGTCCGTACATATCAATATCAACGACTATTTGCTGTTCATTGACATCCATATGATTAGTATAGAATGTGATTAATAGAATCAACACGATTGCAGTTAATACAATCTAGTTAAAAATCAATGTTATCGAATAATTAATATAATTAATTCATTTTTTCATTTCATCATCCTGTTATTATATAATATATAATTAATTAATAACATAATAACATTAATTAATAACATAAAAGTAAAGGCCCTCCCATTGATCATCGATTTGTTCAAGTGGGCCCAGTAACGTCTCCATTGGAGACTTTGTTGTTACTGTGTTTGGCATATCGAATACATCACGGGGAGGCTCTGCGTGCGGGCGAGATAACATAATCGAGGGTGATTAATATCGTTATAATTATCAAAATTGCACCGTCCTCCCGTGGTTCATCGATTGGCTCGAGCGGCCACCAGGAACGTCTCCATGGTGAGACTCACTGTGACTGTGTTTGGCATCTCGAAGACGCCACCATGGGGAGCTTGCCAGGCTCTGCCAGGCGGGCGGGATCCTCTCGGGAGCTGGCTGGGGTCTCCGAGACGGGCGGAGGAATCGAACCCGGCTCGGCCAGGCTGGCTGCACGCAAGGCAAACGCCCTACCGCCGTGCTATTGCTCATTTGCTGAAATGTAGGTGTGTGTGTGTGTGTGTGTGTGTGTGTGTGTGTGTGTGTGTCAGAGATCTGTCAGAGCTACACAGTGATGACAATGACAGTTATTTGCCGAAAACCAGAAAGTGTGCCTGTCTCTGTGTGAGAGAGAGGGAGGGAGGGAGAGAGAGAAGGAGAGAGACATACCAGAGCTAGGTTGTGTAGATGTCGACAATTATTTGATGTGTTGGGTACTGGAGACCCCTCAAAGGACAGAGGACGCACACATTAATGCAAGTGTGTGTGTGTGTGTGTGTGTGTGTGTGAGAGAGAGAGAGAGAGTGTGAGAGAGATTCCAGAGCTATCTAGAGATGATAATAATAATTTGGTGAAATATAGGGGTGCGTGCGCGTGTGTGTTTGTGTGTGTGTGCTGTTGGAGTAGGGAAAGCAGTTCTGTTCCTTCACGATTCCCAGGTTCTCACAGACTTTCAAGCATGAAAATTACCCTAAAGACGCTCACACTCAGACTTGGAAGGTACCAAAGTTGACTGGAAAGTAGAAGAGAAAGAAGAAGACTTCCCCTGGAGGGGGAATAACCTATTCCTATAGGACACAGTGAACTAGGCCTCTTTTTTTTATAAGACACAGTGAACTAGGCCTCTTTTTTTATAAGACACAGTGAACTAGGCCTCTTTTTTTATAAGACACAGTGAACTAGGCCTCTTTTTTTTTTTTTATAGGACACAGTGAACTAGGCCTTTTTTTTTTTTTTTTTTTTGTGGAATTGCTTGAGAGAAAACAGGGTCTTTGTGCTACGGAGAATGCCGGAGGTTAAAGGTGAGAGGTTGGCGCCCCCCTCCCCCCCCCCGGGCCCTTTGAGATGGAAATTGGTTTCTTTTGCATTTCGGCAGAGGGCTGGACTGTTAACTGTGAATGGATGCGGCCTGGCCTCCCGGGTTGCCCATTATCTGGGGCCTTGGGGGTGAGCCTAAACTCTGGGGCCGGAATTTTCTGTCGGAGGACGGTGGTTAACTCCCTGTGTGCCGGAAAGAGCCCAGGGATTGGCAGGAAGTCAATGGGTCGTCTCCGATGGAAGCTGGCCAGGGAAAAAAGTCAAGCTTGGTCTTTATTCCGTGTGTGTGTGTGTGTGTGTGTGTGTGTGTGTGTGTGTGCGTGTGTGTGTGTGAGAGAGAGAGAGAGAGAGAGAGACAGACAGACAGAGACAGAGACAGAGACAGAGAAGGGGACCTGACATTAAGGTCCCTCAGTACATCCCGTTACTGCCATTCTGTAGTGACCATGTAGTGACCAGCCCACCTGTCCACAGGGCCCACCCGGCCCCCCACCTAGACCCGCCCACCTAGACTGTCCAGACAGGTAGCCAGGGCAAGGCCCTCCTCAACGCAACTTCGGTCCACAGAATTTCTGGGCGGAAACTCCTAAGACGGATCCACCCTGTGGATACTGAACACAGACCTGATAAGACCTGCAGCCCACCCTGAGGAGGCTGGACCCCTCCCCAGGAAGTCCCTCAAACCCCCAGACCTCTCCCTTAATCGGATGAAAATGTGACCCAGCCCAAAGTAGACTATTCCCACTCCCAACGCCCACCCCTGGCAACCCCCGTAGCAATGAACTGTGATCTGGGGAGAAGCCCCAGGTGGGGGCAGGTGGGAGAACCCCCCCCCCTCAAGGCCCCCTGGGACCCAGGGAGGGCGCAGAGGCTGCCCGAGCCCGGGTGCTGCTGGTGCCCACGTGGCCGGGCACAGGTGTCACCTGCATCTCCCCTCCACAGGTGGGCAGTTTCCTGCATTCCTGTCTGATCCTGGGTGCGGTGTGTGTAGGGGTCTCTCCGCCCTTGGGAAGCCCGGGGTCTTTCTTGAGTGCATTTCTCTCTCTCTTCTGTCTCTCTCTCTTCTCTCTCTGTGTCTGTCTCTGTCTCTCTGTCTGTTTCTCTCCTTCGTCCTCGAAGAAGCCCGGTTCTCTCTTGAACAAGTCTCTCTCTCTCTCTCTCTCTCTCTCTCTCTCTCTCTCTCTCTCTAGCACAGCGGGTAGGGCGTCTGCCTTGCACGCGGCCAACATTGGCCGACCCGAGTTCGATTCCTCCGCCCCTCTCGGTGAGCCCGGCAAGCTACCGAGAGTATTCGATATGCCAGACACAGTAACAACAAAGTCTCCAATGGAGACGTTACTGGGCCCGCTCGAGCAAATCTCATACATATCATTATCTTTATTTTATTTTTTATTATTTTTGTATCGACATATTTTTATATCCCACCGGTGAGTGCAGTTCTTCTGTCTCTCTCTCTCTCTCTCTCTCTGTCTCTGACTCATTTCACTCAGCCTGATACTCTCTCTGACCATCCACTTCACTGCACATTTCACGACTTCATTCCTCCTCACAGCTGCATACTATTCCATTGCCTAGAGGTGCCGTAGTTTCTTTATGCATCCGATTTTGGCTCTCGAGTGAATACTGCGCCTGTGTCATCCTTAGCCTCACCTGCCCACAGGGCCGGCCTGAGCTCCAGGTGCCCGTTGGGTTATTTCGATGCAGAACTGTCGAGGGCTTGGGAATCCAGGCAGCAGCGGACCCCCGCCCCTCATTGGCTGGACTTGGCGAAAACAGAAATTGTCTGGAGGGGCTGGAGCGATAGCCCAGCGGGGAGGGCGTTGGCCTGGCACGCGGCCGACCCGGGTTCGATTCCCAGCATCCCCTAGGGTCCCCAGAGCACCGCCAGGAGTGATTCCTGAGTGCACGAGCCAGGAAGGACCCCTGAGCATCGCCGGGTATGACTCAAAAATAAATAAATTAAAAAAAATTGTCTGGAAAGGGGCAGCCACAATCCCAAATTCTTATTCTCTGCTCACACTTACTGTGTCAATGACGGCTGTAGCTCTGCCGTGTTGTGATGTTGTTTTCTCTTTTCCCTTCCAGGCAAGAGAGAGGAAGAGGATGGTCCAGCGGAAACCCAACGGGTAAGGGAGTTCCTGAGTGCCCTGGGCTTGCCCGTCTGTGGCGGTCTTCATCCACATCGATGTCCAAGAGGCACCACGGACGCATTTCCGGCCCCCGGGTCTCACGGCAGTGACCCCCGCAGACACCAAGGTCTTCCCCTTCTCCACACACCCAGGGGTGTTGGTTGGAACCATCAACAGTCAGTGTCTCTCCCCGACCGCGGGACCTGGGTTCCCCCCTATTTTCAGGAGTCAAATTGCCGACCCAAGAGTAGACTCAGACTCACAGGTTAGAAAAGTCGAGGCCGCGGTGATAGCCCAGCGGGGCGGGCGTCGGTCTTGCACCCAGGCAACCTGGGTTCGATTCCCCGCATCCCCTAGGGTCCCACAAGCACCGCCGGGAGTGATTCCTGAGTGCACGAGCCAGGAGTCAGCCCTGGGCATCGCCGGGTGGGACCCAAGAAACGAAGACGAAACCAAGAGTTAGAAAAGTGGGAGATAGCCATCCAGGTGCATGCAGGTGACTCTCCCAAGCGGGGACAGTGGGTCTCTGTCCACCTGTGCCTCCCAGAGTCTCGAGAATGAAAATATATTGGGGCTGGAGCGATAGCCCAGCAGGGAGGGCGTCTCTGCCTTGCACGCGGCCGACCCGGGTTCGATTCCCAGCATCCCCTAGGGTCCCCCGAGCACCGCCAGGAGTCATTCCTGAGTGCAGAGCCAGGAGGAACCCCTGAGCATCGCCGGGTGTGACCCAAAAAGCAAATAATAATAAATAAATAAATTTTATTTATTTGTCGTTTCGACTTTTGGGGTCCCACCCGGTGACGCTCAGGGGTCATCCCTGGCTCTGCACTCAGGAATCACTCCTGAGTGCTCGGGGGACCCTGTGGGATGCCAGGAATGGAATCCAAGGCAGTGAACTGCAAAGCAACTGCATTCCCAGCTGTGCTGTTGCTCCAGCCCCTGGTTGTTTGCAGTTCTTTTGAGTTGGCAAGCCGGGCTGAGCCTCTGCAGGGTGTGTTTGGGGCTTGGTCCGAGTCTTCCTGGCCATCAGCCTCAGGGATTAGCCCCTTATCTCTCTCTCTCCCTCCCTGGGAGTTTGCACTCAGGGGCAGAATCTTGAGATGCACAATTGTTGAGTTCCGTATTTCGGAGCAAAGCCCAGGAATTTGCAGGGAGTGAAAAGTGTAGGCTGGGCCCGCCCCAAATGGGACACAGTTCCCGGCCTGCCCGAGGGTAACCCCCTTTCCTAAGCACCTCTCGTGCTTGCCAGAATCCGGTAACTCCACTGCAGACCAGGCTTGGGTCCCTCCGCATCTCCCAAGAGCTCAGAATTCGCCTCTCCAAGGGATGCAGGTCTTCATGCCTCAGAGTCGCTTCAGAGCTGGGCGATTTCTTGCTCTTAAGTTTTTTTGTTTGTTTTTTTTTTTGGCTTTTCGGGTCACACCCGGCGATGCTCAGGGCTTCCTCCTGGCTCTGCACTCAGGAATCACTCCTGGCAGTGCTCAGGGGACCCTAGGGGATGCTGGGATTCGAACCCGGGTCGGCCGCGTGCCAGGCCAACGCCCTACCTGCTGTGCTATCACTTCAGCCCCTATTATTATTATTATTATTATTATTATTATTATTATTTGACTTTTTGGGTCCCACCCGGCGATGCTCAGGGCTTCCTCCTGGCTCTGCACTCAGGAATGACTCCTGGCGGTGCTCGGGAGACCCTATGGGATGCTGGGAATCGAACCCGGGTCGGCCGCGTGCCAGGCCATCGCCCTCCCCGCTGTGCTATCGCTCCAGACCCAGGTTGCTCTTAAGTTTTCTCATTCCCCCCAGAGCTTACTGCCTGGGTTCCTGCTCTCTCTCTCTCTCTCTGCCTGCAAAAGCACTTACTGCTACCGGGAGGACAGAGAGACAGAGACAGGGAGAGAGACGGAGAGGAGGAGAGACAGGGAGGGAGAGACAGAGAGGGAGGGAGGGAGGGAGAGGTCGGGGAGAGTGACAGAGAGAGGGAGAGACAGAGACAGACAGGGAGGGAGAGACAGAGACATACAGAGACAGAGAGGGAGGGAGAGAGAAAGATGGAGGGAGAGAGAGGGAGAGACAGAGAGATACAGAGACAGAGAGGGAGGGAGAGAGAAAGACGGAGGGAGAGATCAGGGAGAGTGACAGAGAGGGAGAGACAGAGACAGACAGAGACAGAGAGGGAGGGAGAGAGAAAGACGGAGGGAGAGATCAGGGAGAGTGACAGAGAGGGAGAGACAGAGACAGACAGAGAGGGAGAGACAGAGACAGACAGAGACAGAGAGGGAGGGAGAGAAAGACGGAGGGAGAGATCAGGGAGAGTGACAGAGAGGGAGAGACAGAGACAGACAGAGACAGAGAGGGAGGGAGAGAGAAAGACGGAGGGAGAGAGAGGGACAGACAGAGACATACAGAGACAGAGGGAGGGAGAGAGAAAGACGGAGGGAGAGATCACGGAGAGTGACAGAGAGAGGGAGAGACAGAGACAGACAGAGAGGGAGAGACAGAGACAGACAGAGACAGAGAGGGAGGGAGAGAGAAAGACGGAGGGAGAGATCACGGAGAGTGACAGAGAGAGGGAGAGACAGAGACAGACAGAGAGGGAGAGACAGAGACAGACAGAGACAGAGAGGGAGGGAGAGAAAGACGGAGGGAGAGATCAGGGAGAGTGACAGAGAGAGGGAGAGACAGAGACATACAGAGAGGGAGGGAGAGAGAAAGACGGAGGGAGAGAGAGGGAGAGACAGAGACATACAGAGACAGAGAGGGAGGGAGAGAGAAAGACGGAGGGAGAGAGAGGGAGAGACAGAGACATACAGAGACAGAGAGGGAGGGAGAGAGAAAGACGGAGGGAGAGAGAGGGAGAGACAGAGACATACAGAGACAGAGAGGGAGGGAGAGAGAAAGACGGAGGGAGAGATCAGGGAGAGTGACAGAGAGGGAGAGACAGAGACAGACAGAGACAGAGAGGGAGGGAGAGAGAAAGACGGAGGGAGAGATCAGGGAGAGTGACAGAGAGAGGGAGAGACAGAGACAAACAGGGAGGGAGAGACAGAGACATACAGAGACAGAGAGGGAGGGAGAGAGAAAGACGGAGGGAGAGAGAGGGAGAGACAGAGACATACAGAGACAGACAGACAGGAAGGGAGAGACAGAGAGGGAGGCAGAGAGAAAGACAGAGGGACGGAGAGACAGATGGAGGAAGAGACAGAGACAGAGAGAAAAGAAATCGCCAAGAAGACTTCCCGTCTTGGGGACTCGGCACTGCACACAGACCCGCTTCGTTTTCCAAGAGAAACCGTGTCCCCGAGACAAGGACGCAGAGAGGGGTCATCGTTGGAGGGCTGTGAGCTACACCTGGGCTTCAGCGGCCCCCCGGGCTCCCCCGAAAGGTCAAGTCCCGTCCACCCACCCACCCACCCACCCACGGGGCACCTGCAATCACAGCTGAAATCTGGCGGGACGAAAAACCAACCGCCAACGAACCAACCGCCTTGACCAGCTTGTCTTCCAGGACGGGGTCGGCGGCTCTGACCCTCTGCGTCTTCCTGGGCTGGTTGCGGTTATCGGCAGGCTGGGACGCCTGGCGCTCCCGTCCGAACATCCTCCTCCTGATGGCCGATGACCTGGGCATCGGGGACGTCGGCTGCTATGGCAACACCACGCTCAGGCAAGGAGCCCAGGGCGACCTCCTGTCCGGCCCCATCCCAAGAAAGACCAGCAGCAAGCTGGCATCGCTTGCGGTCACAGTATCCCCCATGTCCGTCCCTCCCCAATCACTGGACTCAGTTCTTTGTTGTTTCGTTCCTTGGTCTTGGGGTCACACCTGGCTCGGCTTGGAGCTGATCCTGGCTCCGGACTCCAGGGAACCCTCTGAGGTGCTGGGGCTCGAACCCCGGTCGACTGCGTGCCGGGCGGATGCCCGGCTGGAATCATTGAATCACAGCGTGGGTTACTCCTGCCTCTGCACTCAAGTATTACTCCGAGGGGCTGGAGTGATAGCCCAGCGGGGAGGGCGTTGGCCTGGCACGCGGCCGACCCGGGTTCGATTCCCAGCATCCCCTAGGGTCCCCCGAGCACCGCCAGGAGTAATTCGTAACTGCATGCGCCAGGAGTCAGCCCTGAGCATCGCCGGATATGACCCGAAAAAGCCCCCAAAAACGTTTCCTTAGAGGAAAACGTGTTTTGTCTCAGCCTGGACCCAGTCAGCCCTTGCATGTAAGAGATTATTATTAACATAGGAGATTCGCACACGGCCGTCCCGGGTTCGATTCCCAGCATCCCCTAGGATCCCCCGAGCACTGCCAGGACTCACTCCTGAGTGCAGAGCCAGGAGGAACCCCTGAGCATCGCCGGCGGGCGTGACCCAAAAACCAAAAAATCAAAATAAAATAAAAATAAAACTCACCCGCACCCTACTACGGAATGCGGTCTTGGCATTGTCCGTCCTAACTGCGTCCAAGGCTTCCGGCGGGAACTGTGTCACATTGTCACGGTCATTCCTGTTGTTCATCGGTTTCCTCGAGCAGAAACGTCTCCTTCGTCCTAGTCCTGAGGGTTTAGGAACTGCCACATTCGAGTCTCTTTCAGGGCGAGGAGAATGAGACCCATGGGGGGGGGGTGACTGGTTTGGGGCAGCTCGTCGAATCCGCCCCGGGGAGCTTACCCTGGGTAGCCTGCCAGGTTCTCCAGAGGAAGAACTGCATAATAATAAGATGTCTCCCATAATAATAAGATGTCCTGCGGGATAGGGAACCGGGATAGGGAACCGTGTCAATCTGGAATGCAGGGGAAGGACGGTGGAACCGCTCACGTCCACACTTCCATTCCCAGGACGCCCAACATCGACCGCCTGGCAGAGGAAGGGGTGCGACTCACTCAGCACCTGTCGGCGGCGTCTGTCTGCAACCCCGAGCAGGGCCGCCTTCCTGACCGGGAG